AGAAATCCTCCACACAAATCCGAAAAGAGGTTCACGTTTGCCTTGCTGTATTTTAGGGGTAATCAACTTGAGTAATGTGTTCCTTCTATTTTAGTCACAAATTGAGGCAAACACACAACCTCAAAAATTAATAAATATATTATAAGCAATCTTGCTATCTAGGTATATATATTTCTCATTTTACATCTTCATGATTTTGTTTCAAACTATGAAAATACCTCTTAGTATAAAGTAGACTCTCAGTTAAGTGTTAGTCGTGAAGGAAATTTTCACTTTAATATGTTAATAAACTTAATTTCAAAACTAATAAACAATTACGTGAAAATATTTATAATTAACTGAATATATATGTGCCACCTAAACTGAGGCTATCTGTATAATACACGCGGGAAGATGCTTCTCACTAGATACCTATTGTTCTTTATTGTTTCTCTATTACAGACTTTGCTGATTCTGATTTGAAAAAACAAATGGAAAGATACAATATTAATCATCTTATCTAGCATTTGTTATCAGAAGCATATCTAATTAAGTAATTACAGTGACAAACTTCGTCTCCTTGCAAAGCTGGATTAGCACATACTCTGGAAGTCAGCACCATTTCACCTGCTGATCCCGGGCACTCAAAACAACACCCTAGCAGGGTTCACTCCAATTGCTGACAAGCTTTGAAAGTTTTCCAGAAAATTAATCAAATTTTTGCAATACACCACTACCAAAGGCTGAATATCATCTTAATCAGTAAAAAATGATCAATTAGATATTATTTTTCTTCCTACTCAATTATAGCTTAACTCTTACCTAAAAGTAAAACTCTTCAAACCATCTATCTCAACACAATCATAATGTAGTTACTATAAATTCCAGGTAAATCTCAGGTCCTCTCTACAATAAGTAATGGACTAAATTGACAAAGAAATCCATAGATTCTTGAGATAAAACATTTGTTAATGATAGGCAAGTATAGGAAACATGAAATTGAAGTGAATATACTATAAAAATAACACTTTTTTAGGGTAAATCATAATAAATGCTAAAAATTTTGAATAAGTATGTTAAAGATCACCAAGTTATAGGGTTTGGATTTGCAAAGTAAATATGACTCTATGTGAGATCATAAATTTTCTTTCAACGCATTCACTCCAAGAACTTTTCTCTATAAGGTTAGATGGTTCAGAATCCTACATACAGTTTCACTAGAGTCTAACTTACTATGAACCAAAACTTTTCAAGGCTTTAATGCTTTTAATCCAAGAAATACAAATTTTAGATGAAAATAGGCTGTTTTAAATTATCTTTCAGTTTAGTAACCAAATCACACCACTGCATCTCAGTGAAATCAATAAATTATAGAATAATGCTAGTGTATAATATCTTTATCTAGAAACTTGAATAAAATCCTACCGTGTTACTTCCATTGCAAATCTAAAGGCTAGTATGAGAACTGGGTACTGGGTTTATTTTTCCCTTGGATGATTTAGGCCAATGTATCCTTTTTAAGCAAATATACTATTATTTCCTTTGGGAATTTTATTAAGCGGCAAGAATGTCTACAAGAACAGGTTTAAGTAAATATGTAGCTTCCCACTAAGAAATAAGCACCCAGCAACATGGTGAATGAAACAAGTATCAAACCTTGCAACATGAACACCCAACAATCATTTAACCTTCAAGACATTTCATCAGAAACGACAATCAGATAGACCATATGGTCCTTAAACTTTACTGTTTCCCACATTACTTGGCTTCACGATAATAGGGAAGATTCTTTTTCCCCCTTTTATCTGGTGTAGTACAGAGATGTTTATTTAAAAGTGTTTCAGGTACGTAGCTAGATTGAAAAGAGAAAACCATACATTACAAGTGTAAAAATATGATCTGCGTGATATCCTTAGAGGTTTAAGGCAGGCTCAATGTGGAAAAGAAACATAAATATCTTCAGCAAAACAATCCCTGACTGCCTATAAGGGTGTCTCTTGAGCTTATATTTCATCTGTCTTCACTGAAGAAAGTCTTACTTTCTATACTTTTAAATAAAGAGCTACCATTATGATACTTTTGTCCACGTGTGTGTGTGACAAACTGAAGAAGAAATGGTATATCTGTCCTTCCTAAGTCGAGTGTCCTTTTCCAGCATCACTGTAGTTACAAGAATTTTTAGAGGCCTCATTTACTAAGGAGGATGCTTGAATTCCAAATAATAAATAAAACCAGCAGAGGGCAGAACTGCTGACAGAAACGACCAATCCAGCTGGGGACCAGGTATCAAAGGTAAAATGCAAACTTTTGATGGATTCCACTTTCAAAGAATAAAAATGTAGAGACGAATGAATCAACATAATTAGCATAACTTATTTCAAAATTCAAATATAGTCTTAATGAGGCTCTGCCTCTTCACCAGGAAAATCACACAGAGGAAAGATCCAGCACTGCCTGCTACTCAGGAAGGTGAGCACCACTAAGATTGGGGAAGGAATACAGACCTGGTTTCGCAGAGTTCGGCCTCCGGGAGGGCTAACCCCCATCAGGGAGAACTCACATGTTGGCATCTAGCAGGGCCAGACTCAGGTTTCTGCTAAAGCCTGCGCATTTGGGGTTGACAATTTCTTTCTCCCTCAGCCAATCCTCGCCACCCTCTTTGCTACCCCCTGCTTCTCTCTGCACTCCTGACAAAGCTTGCTTTTCTTCGCTAAGCTGTTGGGGCTCCCTGAACTCCAAAGGCGTTCTCCCGCCAGCCGTGTCTACAGCACCTAACGGACCGCTCCAGCCAGATGCCTTTGCGGGAAAGGGCGGGGGGAAAGGGAGGGAGGAGGAGGAGGGGAGGAGTGAAGTCGCTCTCCCTCCTTGGGTACTGACAGGGCTGCAGTATTCCGAGCAGGTCTGGTCATTGAATATTTGGTGGTGCCACGTAGGAACTTTTCCTTACCTCTCTCCTCCCACCCCACCCCACGCCCCCTCCCCTTCCCTCCCAATCCCTATTCCTCCGCCCCCACCCCATTTGCTTGGCAAGTTTCATCATTCTTCTAGAGAACTGCACGTCCAACCTGCAAGATGGGCGGGGTGGGGATTGGGGGGTCACACTGAGGAGGAGGGGACTGAAATTCAGGGAAAAGTGTTCTGTCTATCTTGAACCCTTTCCTCATAATCGGCCAAGTTTTTTCCACTTAAAATCTCTTCAAAATGCCACACGCACACACAAAGTCTTCTCAGTCTTCTAGATTCATCCCCCTCGCTTTCTCTTATATTCTTAGGAGTAAAACAGCCTGTTTCTCACTTTGTTCCAGACAAAGAACTTTATCAAGGTTCATTTTATACCCTGTCTCTATATTTTCTCCTCAGCTCACCCTTAAAAAGATATTTCCATTAGTTAGAATCTGAAGAAACCAGAAGATGTGTTCAAAGGGCAGTCTAAGGACTGTTCTTCAAACAAAAGCTTTGTACAACTGCCCTTGTGTTCAAGGTAATATTTTTCCTCTTTTCAAAGACGCCGGAAAGTGGTGAAGGGCATTTCAGCAGGCTGTGTGCCTGACAGATCTTTTTTCCTGCTACCTCTTCTCCCATTACTGTCCCACCTACATCCATCTCTCTCTCCAGCGTTCACTCTCAACCTAGTGGCAGCTACAATCTGGATTTTATTTAAGAGAAATGGGGGGGGGAGGGGGAGGACAAAGAGGGGGAGGGGTACAGAATGAGAAAGACCGACGGCAATCTCCCACCTCCCCCCCAAACCATTTTTTCTTACCTCCTCTGACCTCTCTAGCCTGGAAGAGGAAAGTCAGTGCGAGGGTTGTTATGGTGAAATCCCAGAGCCACCGTTTCGTTTTCCACCTAGAGGACCACCGCTCCATCTCCGAGCCCCGCACTCACAACTGTGAAATCAACCCACGAAATTGCGATTGCAAACCAACTTCTTCCCTTCCAAGGTATCGTCGGGGGTGTTTGCTACACAGCCATTGGAGAGGGACGGGGGGAAAAAGTCAAAGGGCTTTTTCTTTTAAATTTGATGGTTTGCTTCCTTCCTGTCTCTCGCCCCCTCCTCTCCCTCTCGGTTGGCCCCGCCAGCCGGGACCCTCCGATCCGTCCTCTCCGGGGCCCTGCCTTCAGACTGAAGGCAGATGAGGGGCTTCAACCAAAAATCTGAGAGGACTGCGTCCCCCTAAAGGCTTCATGCCGTCAGTGGGCCGGACGAGAGGCTCTGGGCAGCCCCCTCCTCCGCCCACTCGGCTCCCGCGCCCCCCTTACCCCCGGCGAAACTGACAAGCCGGCCGAGGGTCAGACCCAATCACGCGTCTCGCCGGCAGCCCCGAGCCCGCCCCCCTCTCCCTCGGCCCAAGAATCAGGACTCCGGGCAAGCCCAGCCCACCACCCACCCCAAGTCTCCCCACTCCTCTCCTCCCGCCTCTCCTCCCCAAATCCCCGAGAAAAAATGGGAGGGAGGTACGGGGGACGCGTGCTTGGCTCCAGCACTTTGGGAATGAAAGGAATTGCAGGAGAGCCCCGGAGCCCACAGAGTTTTCAAGGAGCTTCTGTATTCAATAAAAACAGCTACTTGTCTACTTGCACCCGTCTGTTAGCCTCTCGTTCGTCGGCGGGGGAGGGGAGGAGCCCAGCGTCTGATCTGCCACACTGCTGGAGTTCTGGGCTGGCAGCCGTAACCTTATCCTCGTGCAAAAATCTGCTTCTTATAGCAGACGTGGAACCAGCGGACTTAGTGCTTTGCTTGCTCCGAAAAGTTTGTTTTGTTTTGTTTTGTTTTTTAGCTGAGACTTACAAGAAAGAGATGAAGGTGAGATGAAAGGACCCAAGAGGTCAAAACTCCTGATCTTATAGGGAAGCTCTCCTTCCAGATCTGAAACTGACAGGTTTCTCTCTTAAATGTTTAAATTCTGCACTAGCTTGATTGCGAGGCTCGTCTCTTAAAGAGCTGAACTGTACTCAGAGGCAGGAGGACAAAGAAATGTATGGGAGCTGACAGACATTAAGGGGGTGAGTAATTTAATTTTCCAGCTGATTCTGTCCTGATCCCGGATTTGGGGGCACAGGGGGAGGAGAAAAGACAAGGAAAGCAACTAGTAGAGATCCCCAAGCGTCTCTAGGCCCACAGCTCCTCGTCAAGGGCCTCTGGAGCTGAAAACATGGTCACTCCTCAGTGAAAATAATGAAAAGGGCCAGGATTCTAAATTCCTTCGACTTACCTCTCCTCAAAGTAATCCATTTAAACCTGGAATATAGATTCCCCGGTCGTTTTTTCCACATTTAAATTATTCCCTCCTATGGGCTCTTTTTTGTTCCCTAATATTTCCTAAGATGTCTCTCAAAAATTTTCTGCAACAGAGCCCAAAAAGGTGCCAGTGTACACTAGGCGCTCAACAGAGATGTGCAGAGTGAATGAATACGTGTTTCTGTTGACAAAGACTGGAAGCTTTGGCCAGGACCTGTGCTGAGTATTTAAGATATTTCAAAGCTTAAGGGTTCTCAACTAAGTTTATGAGGCATACATGTCCTTTAATCTTTAGGACTCCAATTTTCTATTAGTTATCAAAATATACCTTATGACCCATCAGATTAATCAGATATTCTGTTTATGTGATTTAAGAGTTGGAAGGAAGGTGTTCAGAGACTAGCTTGAGGCCCAAGATAGAATCATTTAACAACTATACAAGAGGCATAGAAAATGAAGAGAGCAACAACAAAAATGCCTTCAACATGACTGTCACTCTCTGTGACAAAGAACCATTCCCATGTCAAGAAGTTTACTTCTTAGACAAGAGGTAAAAAAATATATATATTAGTAACGCTGTTGGCAGAATGTTTGGGATTTCTTGTATCAGCTGCAGAGAAATATCGCCAACTAGCTTTTCAAATTATAAGCTTAAGTTGTTAATATAATTTAATAAGATAAATATTATATTGTACTTGAATGTGGAATGTACAATTACAAATTAAGAACCTTACAGGGTGAATATAGGTCAATTTACCATCTTTGTTATCCTTCACCTTCTCGAAATGAAAAATTTGTGTGTATTTTCAGTTTCCAAACTATTTTGAAACTTTATTTTCTGTCCAATTCTTTGTAGATTTTTAAACTTATTTTATAGGGCTTCTCTTAAATGTAAAATAGTGAAATTAATGCAAAGTTTAGAAATATTTGCAAGGCTTCCAGAATCCTAAATCAACTCAATAGCTAGAGAGTTATAGGGCTTGCAGCAACATGTAGAACTGGTGTTCCAAACTGTTTCTCAGTAGCACTCCTGATATATTGAGAATTCCATGGCCTGATACCATTCTAGAAGGTGAGAAACAATGCAGTCAGTCTAGCAAGCCCCACCTTCTGGTCACATCTCAGGCCCTCTCACTGTGGTGAAAGGGTCCGTTCAGGCAAAGTAGCAGGTGAATAGAGTTATTACTACCTTATGCTCTCTGTACTCTGTGGTCTGAATTCTTCTGGCCACTGCCCAGCTAGGCATAACCTGGGTCTGAATTAATGCCTCTGGAAGGAAATGTAGTAGAGTCATAGTAAAGAATAATAAATTATGCCTAACCCCTCTAGTCTGTAGCTAGCTGCCTGATCTAGAGCCTTCTGAGGACCTGCCCTGGATTTACAGGAGATGAAGTCGGCAAAAGGAAGGATAATACTGAACAACAAAGGAAGCAGAGGGAAACTGGAAGAGACCCACCTCACTAGCTTCAACTTCACACTGGATAACTCCAGGAGGTATTGTTTCCTAGGCTGCCTTTCAGCCAGTCCTTGCTAACTATGTATATATAGATCCAAAATGTAATAGAATATCATGGTTTTCCTGAGATAAGTCTTTAATTTGAAGGACAATTGCTATATGACATTTGCTATTTTGTCACATTAAAAAACAATGTTTAAAGGGGTCTACCCGGTGGCATAGTGGTTGAATTTGTGTGCTCCATTTAGGTGGCCCAGGGTTTGCAGGTTCAGATCCCTGGCATGGACCTACCCACCACTCATCAAGTTATGCTGTCGTGGCATCCCACATACAAAGTACAGGAAGACTGGCACAGATGTTAGCTCAGGGACAATCTTCCTCAAGCGGAAAGAGGATGATTAGCAACAGATGTTAGTTCAGGGCCAGTCCTCCTCACCAAAAAAAAAACCCAAAAAAAGATGTTTAAAAATATTTCTTCAACTTTGTAGAATTTGTTCTGGTTACAAGCCTTTCTTAAACAAGATGGAAAGAGTTTAGAGTAAAAATAGTCATTTCCTTTGTAGCAGTATTTTAAATAGACCATTTGGACATATTGCCTTGTCAGAGAATAATAATTTGAAAATTGATTGGGAGGTCAGATTAGGGGAACTTAAATGTTCTAGACAATCATCAGAGTTCATGGAGCTTTGTTAAACATTGTGAAGAGCTCACAGTTCCCCCTTAAGATCTTCCCAAATCTCTAGGAATCAGGGGATCCAGATTCAGAACCAATGTTTTAAGTATTGAGACCTCGATAACCAAACTGGGGCTGAAGAAACCGTCTCCATAGCTGGGTGCCCCTAATACAAACAGTAATAGATATTGGAGGTCGAGAGAACTCTATAATGAGATGTAAATTACTACAGGTAGAATTAAAGGAAAGAAGAAATAGATTAAATAGCAATACTTTAGAAAAGATACATCATCTTTTAAATCATTTGATATTCATTCCTCTTTTCTCACACTGATGTTTTATCCTCCCCATTGTTGTTTTATATATATATATATATATATATATATGTATTGTTATCTATATATATTTGTTATGTTATATTTATCTATCTATCTATAGATAGATATATAGACACTTTTTACAAACACTTTGCTATAACTAAAACCATTGCATCAAATTTGACTTATTGAATGAGAAATTATTATGGGGGCGGGAAACTGTTGCACACATCAGAAATACTTAAAATGTTTAAAAGAAAATTGCTGTTGAATGTAATCCCTCTCTTACTGTGCCTAATGCTTTGTCTTTCTTGCCCTTTTCTGAACTTAGGTCAATTATTTTAAGAAAGAAATGACTAAGCAGTTTGACATTTGTTTTACAGTTTTTCTAATACATGAGTGGCTAGAAATTAATCTCTGTTTAAAAGTGCAGTTAGTTCCTCTTCCCTCACAGATGGACCATTGTGTTGTGGAAAGTGGGGGCAGGGAAGGGACAGAGAAGTTTATTGCCATAGTCTAACCTAGCTCACAAGTACCCCTCAGTGATGATTGGGTATGTTTTGGCAGCTTTACAGTGAAATAACTTACAGAACTTCAGAGGAATCCAAATTTAGCCCAATTTCCATGATACAACAGAATCTTCAGATGAAAAGTTTGGTCTGTTAGAATATTGAAGAAGCCAATCAGAAATGATAGACCTCTCATGTTTAGAAGAACCTAAAGTAAATTCAAATCTAAATGAACCCGAACGGAGCAATGACTATGGCCTTGTACATTGACGTACATCTCTCTTAAAAATATTCTTTGGTTAGCTACACTCACAGGAAGCTATCATAGTTCTTTTTCATAAGTGTCCAAAGATAGAGGGGAGGAACAGAGTACAGAATGATTCAGGGCAAAAACTTAGATAATTTTGGACCTTTGTCAAGATATTTTTACTTTCTATATCTTTTTTCTTCTTAATTGAGTGGATTTGGCATTTACTAAACTCCGGTGTGTCAGCAAAAGTATAACGAGACATTTTACAAAGTGGTATAGGACAGCATCAACATTCTATCAATAGAAATAGAAGTAGAAATAGAAATGAGATTTTAAACATTTTAGTGAACCACGTGCCACAGCCAAAGGAAGTACCACACCAATAATATAGCCCATGGATGTTTCATCGTCTACGGCGTCCCAACTATCTTTTCGGGTAGTAATTGTCTTGATTCACACTGGTTGTTCCTTATAAAATAAGATTGCTGAAGGTAAAGATTTAAGCTTCTTTAAAGGGATTACTAATTCTTAAGGATTTACTCATAACAATTTCACAATTACTGTTTTTAAATTTAATTTTGGTGGTAAAATGAGAATATACAAATAATTTTTCTTTGACACTTATTATTTCATAATGTAAATAACAAAGGGCAACAAGGTGACCAAATATATCATTGTACTTTCTAAAATAAGTGGAATGCTCTTTTCCACCTCCATCATGTCTTTGCAGATTGATCTACCCCAATGGCATTTGTCACTATTCTTGACTTAAAATGAATATTATTTCCAGGCAACCATATGTAATCTGTTTTGTGCCTCCACCATTCCTACCAATTCATTTAATTCTGAAACCAAATGCATGTGCTTCAAAAATCCAAAGACTCACACAAAACAGATTTCTGAATTATGTGCAATATTTATTATTTCTGTATGACAGTCTTATACATTCTCTTGATGCCACAACAGATGCCAGATATAAGATTTAAGGCTAGTGAATGAGGCTAAATGTTCAAATGGATCTGATTTTTAAAACATCTGTGATGAATAACTCCAACTTAATTTGTTTTGCAGATTCTCAGTATTTAATAATATTTTCTGCCAGTACTAGTATGGTCAAATTATTGCACATTCAAATGCTGGACAAACAATAGATCCTATTTCAAAAGTTTTTACAATCTAATCTGTAAGACTGGAAAGTCATGTATGGATTTAAATGGTTGCAAAACGAGCACTGCTTAATATGAAAGTATACTTTTGAAAGTAAAATATCTTTGTCGCTATAATAAGAGTTTTTTTATTTAAGATACTTAATGGGTTTTTTTGTTAGTCTTCACAACATCTTCATGAGGTAGCAGTGTGGCCGTTTTAATAGTTTCATTTTAAGGAAAAGGTTCGGGACATGCAAAGTTTAGACTAGGAATACAGGAACAGAATGTGTGAAAACATCTAATTTTCACACTTCTGCTCTCGTTATTCTCTCCTTGTAAGTAATGCAATTTTAGAATAGATTTTTTGTATTTTATAGAAAAAAATATAGTAACGCATTTTTCCCTCATAGGTCAACTATTAAAACGAATGAGATTTCGAGGACTACAAGACATTTTTTTTTAAAAGATTGGTACCGGAGCTAATATCTGTTGTTAATCTTCTTTTTTTTCCTCCTTTTTCTTCTCCCCATATGCCCCCAGTACATAGTTGTATATTCCAGTTGTGAGTACCTCTGGTTGTGCTATGTGGGTTCCACCTCAGCATGGCCTGATGAACGCTGCCATGTCCATGCCCAGGATCTGAACCAGCAAAACCCTGGGCCGCCAAAGCAGAGCATGCCGAACTTAACCACTCGGCCACCGGGCCAGCCCCCTACAAATATTAAAATAGGAAAGGTAATGTCAGTGACAACATTTGGACCCTTAAAAAAAATCTATAAATTTAATTAAAGCATTACATCTTTGACTATATTTCCAAGAAATAAAAAAATCTATTTTTAGAGATAAATGAAGATGAGTTCTTTTTATTCCAATGCCAACCCTCAGATTTCACTCTCTTCAGGGATTTTAAATCATTTTATAATTTTATATGTTTCTGCAAACAGAAAAAACTACTGAAGTTAACTTCAAATTGTTTTATACTTTCCAAGAAGAAAAAGAAAAAACGGCATTCAGTATGTTAAAGAGAAGACGTATGATTATAATTGCATCAATATTTTGTAAATGAATGGAACATCTTGAAAGTTATAAGTACTATACGAGAATTTCTAATTCAAAACTTAAAAACTTTGAGGTAAGAGATATATCAAGCCTTAGATAAATATTTCCTTCTAGACTATAAATTCCTTAAGGGTAGAAACCCTCATTCTATACTGTGTCTTTAGTGTCTTGATTTCTGCTTCTTGATCAGCTTTGCGTGACTTTGTTGACACTGGCTTAATTGTGCACTTTAATTCTGCTTTAAGACACAAAAAAGCCTAAGTGATTTTGTTCATTATCTTAAAGCATTGGAACTTTAGATGTGAGTCACTATATTCCTGAGACCCAAGCTGGGAATGGACCTCTGGGATGCTACTGGCAATACCATGGGGAAGGAAGGAAGGAATCTGGAAGGAAGATTAAACATTGGCACCACTTGTGAAACTAGACTTTTGTGGTGCAGACAATGATGACAAAGTTTGACATATTCCACGAAGCACAGTTTGTTGGAATATTTGACTAAATCGGGTTCAAAACTTCAGAAGGATCAGTTCTGCTGACATAGATCCCATCAAGTTCAGATCTTCTCCTCATCTCCACCATCTCATGAGAATAAGGATCCTGCATGGTTTGTGTCTAAGCTCCCGTGAACTTTGATATTGACAACCAACCAGCCCTGCTTTCTGTAGTCTCCACTCCACCCTAGTCTCTAGCAAGATCCTTGGGGAATATTCATGAGGAATGCCTATGGAGCCTTATATTCTCGTAACATGTGAACATCTTTGAGTCAATTTGCATTCTAAATCTATTACTAAGACATTTTCCTGAATCCTGTATTGCTAGAGAATTTTATTCCTCAAAATCTCAGAGGCGAGGATAGGGATAAAAGGATGAGTGGTTTCGCAAGAAAAGCAATCAGCATGGGAGAAAATTACATATTTTAAGGGAGAATGCCAGGGCACTGGGAGAAGAAAGAGATGAGGAGAGAAGACATGAAAACAAGAAAAACAGAGACTATTAGCAATCTTTATAAATGAGAAGTGGCGAAGAAAGGGAGAGCCCTCTACGAAAATGTTTTAAGAAGTGCTGCTCTATGATGCAGTTTCTTACATATCCTGTTCTGCTGCTTCATGGAGAAACATTTTGTTGGGACATCTCATCTCATCTCATGGCATCGCATCTTCTCTTGCCCTTAGACTGGATTTACATTGTTGGCTCCAGTCCAAATAATGACCTTTAGCCTCCAACTGATTTATACCACTTGGGTCTCCAACTTGCAGAAAGCATATCATGGGACTTCTCAGCCTCTATAACCACATGAGCCAACTCCTCATAATAAATCTTCTTTTATATATATGGAAGATATATTTTATATGTATATTTGTTCTATTTCTCTGGAGAAACCTAATATGGCAATTTTTTAGTACTTTTGATTTCAATTTAAAATTTTGGCCTGCTCAACTGCTCTGGAAGCCGTTTCAGAGGTATTTAATAGTATTCTCTTTCTCTATACTATCTAAAATATTTGTTTTTAAAAATACTGTGAAATATTTGCTAAGTGACATGAAAAATGAATTAAAGGACACGTGTAGAGAAATCAATATTTATATTCAAAATATTAGAATCATGACCTAATCACCTCACAAAGGCTGCACTTCAAAATACTATCACGTTGGGATTAGGTTTCAAAATATGAGTATGAGTAGGACATAACTTTCCATCTATAGCAAATTTTACTCATTGCACCTATCAGATAGCAAAGTAAACTAGTTATCTCTTGGTTCTTGTGTAGAATATCTTGTAGGATATGTATCAAGCAAATCAATTGAAATCTATATTTACCGCTTTTGAATGGTGATCCTCACTATGACAAGCTTAAGTTATTTCAATTCTCAAAGCATGGTAAATTAACTCCTCTATCATTGGAAGAAAAAATCCTTTTTTATTAGTGATGTTTAACGTTTTATGAATTATGTAATTATTAAAAGTTCAACGAACCTCATGTTTAGAAACTACTTTTGAGATTTCAAATTTGACAGTTAAAGACAAAAACTCAAACAAGAATCAGAGGATGTCTGCAAAAATGGCAGAGTAGGCAGATCCAAGCGTCTGTCTTTCTACAGAAATACTGAAAAATCAAGCAAAAATGCTCAGGATCAACTTTATTAAAACTCTTAAAAATAAAGGTGTACAGCAAAAAAAGAATACTGAATCAAGAAAAAGACAACATAAAAATGGTAGAAAAGATCTGTGGCATTTTTATTTGCTTTTGCCCCATCCCCCTTGCTGGCTCAGCAGTGATCTCAAGGACCATAACCCACATTCCTGATATGTGAGCCTGGTGCCAGGCAGAAGGAGCAGAGCAGAGCAGACCTTATTCTCAAAGAATTCTTAACTTTCTAGGAACTGACTGAAAGACTGATGCAAGATGTTTGTCTTTATTAGGCCTAACAACGAACTCACACTGGTCAGAAAAGTCGCAAACATTCCTGAACCATATTGTAAGGCAAAAGAACAACCTATCAGCTGCCTTGGGCAAAAAATTAAGCTTGAGACACACAAAAGAGTGCCCAAAGCCTGAGAGGAAAAGCTGAGGAAAGAGTTTCTTTGGGAAATTAGGGCATTCGAAAGCACCCCTGTATATCGAGGGAAGTAGAAAGCCACAGCACATTCTCAGGGCAACACACATTCTCAGGACAAACCTGAGAAGACCCTTATCTTTTACCTCAGGCTGATCTCTAGGCTCAGTGTAAGCAGGAAGTGAAAGCTAATGCAGAGTTTTAAATGGACTGGCTGAGCACTGGAGGAGGAGTACCGAGCATAAAAGCAATTGGCAAAGACTGGCACAAGTGTATTTTATTATTAATTTTTCCTTCTCTCTCTCTCTCTTCCTGGTTTTCCATGAGATCTCTGTTAAAACATTAAAACTAGCTGAACGTTAGCTAAAGAAACAGAGACTTCAGAGACCACACATGAAAAAATTGCAGACTTTTCAAAATAGGTTGGAAAAGGCACTCAACAAATAGCTAAAGCCTTCAGTAATCAAAACTCTGAGAAGGGTAAAAATCTGATTTATAGAGTTACCACATCACAATATTCAAAATTTCCAGTTCTCAATAAAAATTATAAAGCATGCAAAGAAACAAAAAACATATGTCTCATTCACAGAAGAAATGATTTAGAAACTGTTCCTGAGGAAGCACAGACATTGGATTTATTAAGCAAAGACTTTAAATCAACTGTATTAAATAGGCTTAAAGAACTAAAGAACACCATAGAAAAAGAGTTTTAAAAAATCAAGATAACAATGATGAACAAGTAGAGAATATCAATAAAGAGAAATTTTTAAAAAGAATCAAGTGACATTCTAGATCTGGAAAGTACAATAACTGAAATAAAATCTCACTAGAGGGTTTCATTAGCAGACTTGAGCAGACAGAAAAAAGAATCAATGAACCTGAAGTTAAGTTAATTGAAATTTTCTAGTCTGAGGTATAGAAAGAAAAAAGAATGATGAGAGATAAAGAGAACATAAGACATCTTAGGGACATCACCATTGAGTATACCAACATATGCATAAGGAAAGTTTCAGAAGGGGAAGAGAGACAGAGATGAGAAGAATATTTGAAGACATAATGGCTGAAAAATTTCCAAAGTTGATTAAATTTATGAATCAAACATTGAAGAAGTTCAACAAACTCCAAGAGGATACATGAAAATGATTCACACTGAGCCATATAATAAAATTGCTGACAGCCAAGGACAAAGAGAGACACTTAAAAGCAGCAAGAGGCAGTGGCTCATTATGCACAAGTGATCCTTAATAAGATTAATACACATTTCTCATATGAAACCATGGAGGCCAGATGGGGATTACATTTTTTAAAGTGCTGAAAGAAAAAACTGTCAACCAAGAATTCTATACCCAGCAAAATTATTCTTCAAAGATGAAAGAGAAATTAAGATATTCTCAAGTAAATAAAAGTTGAGGGAATCTGTTGCTAGTATCCCGGTTTTTATGCAATATTAAAGAGAATCCTTCAAATTGAAATAAGAAGACACTAGACAGTAATATGAAGAAATAAAGAACTCTGATAATGGTAATTATATAGATAAATATAAAATCCAGTATTACTATATTTTTGGTTTGCAACTACACTTTTTATTTCCTCCATCATTTAAAATAAAAATGCATAAAACAATATTGGTAAATCTGTTTGTTATGGACTGAATTGTGTTCCTCCAAAATTTGTCTATTGAAAATTTAACCCCCCAATGTGACTATATTTGGAGATGGAAGCTTTAAAGAGGTAATTAAGGTAAATTGAAGTCTGTGTCTTAATTGACACAGAAAAAGCATTTAACAAAACCCATAATTTTATTATAAAAAGACTCATAAAACTTGGAATGGAAGGGAACTTCTTTGACATGAATAAGGGCTATTTTGAAAAACACAGAGCAAATATCATACTCAATGACAAAAAGCTGAAATCTTTTTCTCCAACATCGGGAACAAGACAAGAATACCTGCTTTCACTGCTGCAATACAATATTTACTGGAAGTTCTAGCCAGGGCAAGTAGGCAATAAAAAATAAAACAAAGTGAAATAAAAAACATACAAATTGGAAAGAAAGAAGTAAAACTATCTCTATTCTCAGACATGATTCTATATATAGAAAATCCTAAAGAATCTACAAAAAACTCCTAGAACTAATAAACGAGTTGAGTAAGTTTGCAGGGTCCAAGATCAACTCACAAAAATCAGTTGTGATTCTCTACACCAGCTCTGAACTATACAAAAAAAAGAAATAAAGAAAACAATTCCATTTATGGTGAGATCCAAAAAAATAAAATACCTGGGAATAATTTTAGCCAAGGAGGTGATAAAGTTGAATATTGAAATATTATAGTTTTTAATATTGTACTTTTCTGAAATAAAGGAAGAACTAAAAAAATAGAAATAAATACCAAGTCTGTGGACTGGAAGATGATATTTTATAAATGGGAATGTTACCCAAAGTGATCTACAGATTCAGTGCAATCCTTATCAAAATTCCAATGGCCTCTTTTTCAGAACTGGAAAAGTTAGTCCTCAAATTCGTATAGAATTTTAAGGGGTCCTATATAGCCAAAACAATATTGAAAAAGCAAAGTTGGAGGACTCATTCTTCTCAATTGCAATACTTACTACAAAGTACAGTAATCAAAATAGTGTGGTACTGGCAAAAGCATAGACATGTTGACTAATGGAATAAAATTGAGAGTCAAGAAATAAACTCATTCAACTATGGCAAATTGATTTTGACAAAGTCATCAAGACCCTTCAATGGAGAAAGCATAGTCTCTTCAACAAATGGTGCTAGAACAACTGGATATCCACCTAAAAATAAAATAAAGTTAACCCCTATTTCATATTATATACAAACATTGACTCAAAATAACAGCAACTAAATATGAAAGCTAAAATCATAAAGCTCTTTGACAAAAACTTAAGGTTATGTCCTCATGACTTTGCCAATGGATTCTTAGATATGACACCAAAAGCATAAGCAATGAAAAAAAAGATAAAGCAGGCTTCATCAAAACAAAAACTTTTGTGCATCAAAAGACACATTTTAAAGAAAATGTAAAGCCAGCTGACAGAATGAAAGAAAATGTCTGGAAGTCATGTATCTGATAATGGTCTGGTATAGAATATATGAAGAACTCTTACACCTTAACAACAAAGACAGACAACCCAATTTAAAAGTGGGCAAGTGAATTGAGTAAATATTTCTTCCAAGAATGTATACAAATAGCCAAGCAGCACATGAAAATATACCTAACATCATCAGTCATTAGGCAAATGCAAATCAACACTACAATGAGATATCACTTCACACCCACTAGAATGGATATGATTTAAAAAAATGAAAATAAGTGTTGGTGATGAGGTGGAGAACTTGGAACCAACCCTCATACTTTGCTCATGGGAATGCTAACTTTTTTAACTACTGTGGAAAATAGTTTGGTAGTTCTGCAAAAAGTTGAATAAAGAATTCCCATATGACTCAGCAATTTCACTCCTAAGTATATACCCAAAAGAACTGAAACAGATACTAAAATAAATACATGTACTCACATGTTCATAGCAACACTATTCACAATAGCCAAAAGGTGGAAATAAAGGAAATGTCTACCAACAGATGAATCAGTAAACAAATTGTGATATATACATAAAATGGAATTTTATTCAGCCACAAAAAGAATGAAGTATTGGTATATATTACAACGTAGATGAATCTTAAAAACATTATGCTAAGTGCAAGTAACTTAGTAACATAAAAAGTAATGTAAAAGTAACATAAAAGTTCTCATTGTATGATTCATTGATATGAAATATCTAGAATAGTTAAATCCATAGAAACAGCATATTTGTGGTTGCCAGGGCTTGGGGAGAGATGGAAATGAAGAGTAATTGCTTAATGAGTACAGGATGTCCTTTTGGGGTGAGGAAAATATTTTGGCACTATATAGAAGTGGTGGTTGGATGACATTGTGATTGTACTAA